TGGAGAATTAACTGTAATTGTAGAGGCAAATGGTTTTCAAGGGTACTGAAAAGTCATTCTACTGCTATGACTCACATTGAATATTTATTTAATTGAAATGGAAATGGAACGATATGTTTCCAAAAGTAATAAATTGCCTATGATAAAAAAAATAATTTTTCCTTTATTGTAAGCATGGCTTAAATAAAAATCAAGCTGTGCAGAGTGAGAGAAATTAGAATGGACTTTTCTCTATCTCGCTCCTTTTTCTGTCTTCACCTTTCTCTCCATTCCATTTTTCTTCTTGCCACACTCATTTGCTCTTGCTCTCACTTTCTTTCGCTTTTCTGCCTCTCCTTCTCCTGTCTCTCACCACCTTTCCAGTCCCTCTCTCTTTCTTCACCAGTAAGTACATCTCGAGTAGCTAAGCTGTGGTCACCCCACTGAACACTGAGTTGCATTCTACTTGGGTGCAGGTAGAAGTGGGGACAAAGAGACAAGATGACAGCCAAGTTGAAGAATTTCAAGTTCAATTTGATGATTGTCTTAATCCTTGTCCTTGTGGTCTTTTGGCCCAGCTGCTGAGATTTTTGGATTTAGGGCCAAACAGCCTTTATTTCCAAGTATCACATCCACTTCTCAAAAGCACATGTAGGACAGGAATTGACTGGGAAGGGCAGAAGAGAATTTTCTGGAATAAGGTAGTGTTCTACAGTTTTGATAGAGGTTTATGTTGTAACAAGTAGATGCATTTGTCAAAACTCAGTGAATATACTCTTATACTTATATGTTTCATTATATGTAAATTTCCTCTCAAAAGAAAAATAAAGCATATGTAGTGATCAAAATCTCAGCTCAAATGTGCGATGAGAATCCACCAGCTGCTATGCAAGAAGGTGGGGCTGGTGGTTGGAGGCTGTCTTAGTCATCTAGTGCTGCTGTAACAGAAAAATCACAAGTGAATGGCTTTAACAAAGAGAAATTTATTCTCTGACAGTCTGGTAGGCTTCAAGCCCAAATTCAGGGTGTCAGCTCCAGGGGAAGGCTTTCTCTTCTCTGTTGGCTCTGGAGGAAGGTCCTTGTCATCAGTCTTTCCTTGGTCTGGGAGCATCTCAGTGCAAGAATCTCAATTCC